GGTGAACATACACCCAGTTTAATCCTACTAATAAGATTTATTTAAAACAGGTATTAGAAAAAGTACAATACTAGTTTCGCAATCTTACGGTTACAACTTAGATGAGCGACTGAATTCTTACGACTGTTACAACTGATATCTAACTACGGCTACGACTGCTAGTGTTCTACTTCTACGACTGAGACTACTTTACTTCTACGACTGAGACTGCTTTACTTCTACCACCGAGACTACTGCTTTCTTATTTCTTTTCATGTCTTTTTATATCAGAAATCACCTACACCCCTTTTTGAGAGGGAAGAAGCTTACTAATCTTACTGACCAATAGCATAAGGATCCACCCCATAGTCCACCGACAGGTACAGCCTATGGTTTTCGGTAGTGGGAACTATGCATACAGAAACTTAATCTAGCAAATCGGAATGTTACCCTTTTTATGGCATCGCATATGTTTAAACAGGTATCTGAAATTCTTCAAAAGGTCCCAACACTGCACACATGGTTTTTATTACACCAATATCCTAATAATCCTTAAGGTTCGTTTATGGTTTTATGGCCTACCTGATTTTTTCTTTTAGTCTGAATAGAGTTTTCCTTTTCAATAAAATAAGATCCACAGAAAGGACTGAATACTAGTTTTTGTCTTCCTCTACTACACTTAAAACTCTCCTACATATATATTAGGGCGAGTCAAAAAAATCAATTATTTTTTTTTTACAAGTGCTACGCAAAAACGGGTTTGCTAGACACCTTAAAAGAATTCTCATTAAATATGAGCTCTTAATTGTAATAGGAAAATCCTTCGCATCGCAGTTTTTTATTTTTTTCTCAGTCCAATAGAATAAAATTCATACTTCATTATTTATTGATTGTACAGAAAAATGTTCTAGACGAGTTTTGTAGGAAATTTAATGCTCTACAAAAAAAATATTATATATTTTATCCGTAAACCTCACCATTTGAATGATATTAAAGTTTTATATTTGATGATTTTTAGACAAATTGTATTTTTGTTTATGAATTTTATAACTCGACAATAAATGACTATTA